AGAGAAGGGAAGGGGTGGGGGGCTTTGGTCATTTGTGGCTCCTATACGGTATATTAATTATTAAATAAGCGAGTGTCTGTATATCGCTCGAAAAAGATTGATTTATCGGTCAATAACGAAGTTTTAAGCATCTTTTTTTTCCATCCATAGCATTTGGATTAGTAAAGCTGAGACGCATAGAGAAGGGGTAGTGGATTGCACGGCGCATTGCATTGATCAAATATCACCGAGACGATGCGTACGCGTGCATATGTGTACACACACACACACACACAAGGCGCGTGCGATGCGGTATCGATAGGGCATGTATACCAATTGGCACGCGGTGATGCTGCCCTGCCACTGCCGCTGCCGCACATATCTATTTCGGCGGCGAAATACCACGACTGCCTCGACGTTCGGGGTTTTGCCCCGAGAATGGAGAAAGGGGGAGATTCACCGCAGTATTGCCATACAGTCCCTGCGTATATAGAATGGCATATACGCGTTTCTCCCTCTCTCAATGCATGTATCGTATGTAAGTATGTAGATAGATATAGACCTATATACAGATCTAAACGATGCCATTTACACGAAACAATTATCTCGTCCTCGAAGCGATATACACATTACGCGGCACCGCCAAATCCCTGGGAGGTGTGAGCCGATGCTGTTTAGTTGCTCCCGCGCTGCTTCGTACCCGAGTCTCCGTTGTGATATAGAAACATATTCCTCTCGTAAAGTGTAGGCAGCAACCCCCTTCCCCACCCGCCTATTTCAGCCGCAGAGCAGAGATGTTTCGCGCGCGAATACATCCCCCAACGGTCCAATACTCTTTGGCCGCAGCACTGCACACACACGCACAGTAGACCCCGACAGTTGCGAAATTGCCTCGCGCTAACTCGAGAGCGGCTCGTATTATATATATATATATAGCTACAATAGATGCCGTATCCATTCGATTGATTCTCCGAGGCTGCAGCAGCGGCAACATAGCTATACGTTATATCGTAAGCGGGCTCGCGTGCATGTAATAACTCGGAGCTCGAGCGCCGCAGCCATGGATATAGAGATACTTCGGCGCGAAAAGTTGTGTAAAATAATTAAGGTGCGCAGGAGGATCGAGCGATCGCTCGCGGCCCGGCGAGCAGTAGTATAATATAGTAGCAGTAACGGCAGGCTAATATAATGCACGCGCCCGCTGATGAAAATTCTTCTACTCCGGCGCGATAAATAGTAGAGATTTTTTTTGTACACGAGGCGAGCGAGACGAGCGCAAAAATTATCAAGCTCCGACGCGGTTCTCGGGGCATACGCCGAATATCTGTAAAAGTTTAACGAATTTGAATTTTTCCTCCCCGGCGCGTTGCTAGCTTGTGCTGTGCTGTGTATGTAGTCAATAAAACTATTTCGATTTTTTTTTATTAAATTACACATGCAAAATTTCTGCTCGCTCTCTCGCTCAAGGGAAATAGATAGATAGAGAGAGAGACTAAGTGAGCGAGCGAACAAACTGATACTTTGCTCTCGGGCCGCTCGCGCGCTCGATCGATTATCGATAGCAATTTTTTATTCTCCAAAGAACGTAACAAAACCAAGAGAGCATCAGAAAATTAACTCCTCTCTCTCTCTCTCTCTCTCTCTCTCTCTCTCTCTCTCTCTCTCTCCACACCTACATACACTCGTATACTCACTTGTGCGCATGTATGTAAGCCAGTGGCGCACTGATGGAAAGCCTCGCGCGAACGTTCGCTATATAAAGCTCACCTTTATGGACGCGTATACGAAACTCGCGGACGCGTCGGGGCAGCAGAATGCACACGAGGAGTGAGAGAGAGAGAGCAAAGAGCGAACTTCTCGATCAACGATGAAATATTCTACACATTTTCCTCTGATCTGTTTTGTGCGATAAGTATAAGGCCGATTCTCTGTCAAATCCAAATTATCGAGAAATTTTCGTTTCCACTGAGATGAAAAATTTGTAGTTTTTGATGTCTTACGAGTCCCAGAATTTCACAAGAAATTTTGGGACCGCACGTCAACCTTTTTCACTGGTGTGAAGTTGGCATTTTACCGAAATTCACGAATATTGCGAATATTTCAACATTTTAAGCTTGATCCCGAGTTACTTCACGAAAAAAATGCTCGAGAACTTTACTGCGAAGCTTTGATGGAGCAGTTAATTTTTTACATTTCAAATGTGATACGTCAATTTTATAAGTTTCGTACTTTTGATTTTAATCAAATTGTCATTAACACTGGTACGTCGCATTTATTATACCAACAATGGAATTGATTTCCAAAAACTTGCTTCGAGGTTGAAATATTTCTTAGTTACAGTAAGCTAATTAATTTACTGAAGGAACATCAATGTTCTCTAAATATTCAGTTAAGGGCTCAAAGGGGGCTTAAATAATTATATATTTCTATATATATTCTTTTATTCATTAAATATTATTTTGGATAAATTTTAATAAAATATTCTATTAAATTGTATGTTGAACTAGTCAAAGTTGATCTTATGCTTAGCTTGAGGTTGCGTTGATTCATCAAACAAAATGAAATCAAATACATCTCAATTGTGTCAAGCAAACACTTGGAATCTTACGGCAAACAGATTAGACATCCCAAATGCTTATCGCTGAAGGTTTATAGACTTAAACCAGTTAATTTAACTGTTTGTAAGTATTTAACTGGACAAAGTACTTTCAAATGGGGTATTGAAAAAGGCTCTTATGCCTGTTGTCTGGAAAAATATTTTTCAACTTTTTCAGCTTAATACTATAAATAAAAATATATAATTATTTAAGCCCCGTTTGAGCCCTTAATTTTTTCAGAATATTATTAATTTACCTCAGCCTTGTTACCTCCTTGAAGTAATCAATCAGATTAAAATTTTATGCTTTTATTAATTTTTTTGCAGCAATAAAAACAATTATTATTAAAGATAAATGGTTAGAAGGACTGAGCTTCGACTTATACAATTATTTTAACTTTGCCACTTGCAGATTTACAGGTAAAAATGCTCGCCGAATTAAATCCACATTTATTACCATTCACAAAGCCTCCTTATGAAGTCAACTAATACTTCCTAAATTTTTGTCTTCCGGCTTTAGAATTGATATAAAAATAAATGAAATATGTTTTAAATTTGATTCCTATTCACATTTTAAAAATAACCATCAGCGCGTGTTTGAATTATTTATGCATTCTAAAATTTTGCACGAAACTTTGTTTTTTTGAAAACTTCGAAGGGGCCTTATGGTGAATTAAATTTATTATTTCATTCTATCAACATAATACACCTACATTCACTCTGCTATCTAGAAATACTACCAACTAAAAGATACAGAAAAGTCGAATTAAAGGTTTGCGTTATACAGTAATCTCGATATCGCTCGAATGAAAATTTCATTGGATCGCGCGCGTCTGTGCTTGCAAATATGGCTCGCGGCGTTACACGAAAAATGTCATATCAAAGAATGCTCAATTCTCTGCGATTAGTTCTCGTGCGACGTCGTCGTCTCTCCCTCTCTTTTCCTCAGTCGCACCTTAGCTATTACCTTATTCGTATTATACGACTGGCTCGCACTGATTTCTCTGTATACATAGACGACGACGCCGACGACGAGTCAGAGGTGAGAGTTTACAAAGTCGAGGAGTGAGAGCTCGCGCGGGAGGATCATAATACCTGTTGCAAGTTTATCGACAGCCCGCAGCTCTTCGGGCGTACTGCTTACACACGAACACACGCATACACAGCCACCTACAGACACACACTGCGGGCTATGTGTAGGAGTACGGCATAGCGGCAAACGCGCGACTTCGAAAGCTACGTACAGATATGTGCAGGTTATATTGCTCTTGGCAGGCAGAGCTATGCGAAATGGAGAGCCGCGCCGTTTGCGGTTTTGCAAATTTGTCGAAGAAATCCCGAAGTCGACGCTCGGTACATCTACATTTATCCATACCGTATTTACGACTTCGAATGTCCGCCTCGCACTCGAATATACGATACTTGAATTTTCGTTGACGCGTCGATCTGAACATTGCGAGTTTGCAAGCTCACGCTTTTTGCATTCGAAATATATTTATCTGCGATATAAAAAAAATTACGATTGCTTATTGAAGACGGTCGATCTATTTTGCTATATACTGTGATTTTCCCGCATTTCCAACGTCAAACCAATAAAGCTGATGAGTTTTCACGGGTACGCTTGCCATCGTCGGGAGATGAGGATGAATAAGAGATAAACGTTTGCAAAGATTCGGGCTTGCAGCTCGCCAAGAATAAAGCCGATAGACGTATTATCAGGGGCAACAAAAAGCAGCAGCTCATCGAGCAACGCGCGGCGTTTCTCTCGTTTTCTGCCACTCCAAAGCGGCACGTCGTCGGCGGCCGGCGGCGGAAGGGGGGCCCACCCTTTAAAACGTACACTTGCCGCGCTCCACGATAAATAAGAAGCGCGCCTCTCTCACGCGCGCTGTTTAAACGAGCTTGCAGCAGTAGCTATAACTGCAAGCACAAATGAGACCGCGAAAAATCGCCTCGAGCCATTTTGCACTTACAGTCTATGCGGTGTATAAATGTGAGAGGAGCTGCTTGACTGAGAAAAATGGCTCTCTCTCTCCCTTCGCTAAAAGCTCTGACAAACCACGCCGCTTTTCTCTTTATTAATTATTCCCTTGGGATGTGTAGTATATAGAGAGACTCTCTAGTGCAGAGCAGCCCCGTTGTATAGTGAAAAAACGGAGGGCGCGGTGAGATGAAAAAAAGGGGAAAATAATAACACATCGTGAAAGAGGAAGAGAGAGAAACGCTCCCTCGGTGCACCTTTCATCAACAGGTATCTTACTCGCAGTGCTCCTACGCAGCCAAACAGGTGGATAAGGTGCAGGGGCTAGCTCGCGACACAGGGGGACTATTGGTTGCGCGCGAAACGATAATAATACACCGAGCGATCACGAGCGTGTTCTCAAAACAATGATCGGAAAAAAATTGAATGGAACGATTGACTTACCAGATTCTAAGTGGAAGTGCTACGAGGAGATTCTTTCTTTGGTAACAGTTCGTCGAAGAAATTTTTGTATTCATAAATCACTGCATTGCACTGCATCGACTCGTACTGAAGCGATCATCCAGTAGTTTCTTTTTTTTTTGTTATACGTCCCTCGATTCGATCAATTTTATTGCACAGTCATTCGCACTGAGAAGCAAAAAATTCGTCGATTTATTTCCCTATGATTTTTTCGATCGAGATAACCCGGAACGTTTTTCGTGAATATTGGCGCGACGTCGAGTCACTATCCGCGTACGGGTAGCATACAGACGGCTGGATCGTCGCGAGGCGACTGTGCTGTGTACCAGAGCCCGCCGTGCACAATCAGCCGCTGCTGCTGCTACTACTGCCTCTCTCCGGCTTCGCTGCTGCTGCTGCTGCTGCGCGTCTTTGTCCTGCCTCCAAGCCTGCGTGTGCCGGCTGTGCGACGCGCGCGCGTCGCTGCTCCAACCAACCCCCAATCCTACTACTGCTGCTGCTGCTGCTGCTGCTACACTAGCTCCCATACACGCGCACTCTCGGCTTTGTGTGTTTGTATGTGTGTGTATGTATGTGAGCGGGGGAAAATGTATGTGTTATATATATATACGTTACGGTAAGATTGCGAATTTCACTTATCCCTATTTCTGTGAGATATGACAAGATCAAGATTCGATTGCCTGTCTGTGTGTGTATGTGCGAGCGCATGTGTATACATTTTCACCCCGCTCCCACTATGAAAATATGTGTCAGTCTGTTTGAGTGGATAAATCGGCAATGGATTTTTGATGACTTGATGTGTCGAGATTTGTTGCGTAAATATTTAAATCGTCGATGCTCTCCGCCGAGTGAGGCTCGCTAACGCAAGATGATCCCGACAAAATGTTTAGTAAATATTTCGTTTAAAGCCGTAATCTTTTTGTAGGTTGTAGGTGTAGGTTTTATGCAAAATTAGATTTCTCTTTGAAAGCTATTTGCTGTTATTCCGTTGACGTTTTCAAATATTTAAGGTCAATATGACTATAAAAATAAAAAAAATATTCCTCGTGATTTTTGCGATTGTTTACTCGGTAACAATCGTTTTATACATTTTTATTTCAGCCCGCGTGCGTGTGTCGGTCGCGCGATATTTGTAACGGCCCGCGTCGACGGACGCGAAATATTTTGCTTATTCAATGATGTTATTTTGATAAAAGTATCTTTCAATAGAATATACAAAATCGTGCGACGAATCGCTAAAAAAAGTTCGAGCTCGATTTTTGTGTTTTATGAGGATTTTTTAGTGTCGTACACAAGTAATGCATACACGAGTAGGAATAAATTCATTTTTTGGCCATTAATTGCCCATTATGATTCATAGTGATCGGAATATCAGGCAATAACTCGTTTATGTTTTCGTTTTTGATGCATAAAGTTAAAGTTGTATTCTCTTGGATGTAGAAGAATAAATTGAAAAAATGTGATTATTTTTATAATTATTTATGCTTACAAATAATATAAAACATTGTCCAGTTTAAAACTATAATCCATTAGGATTATGCGATAGTATTCTTTAAAAAAATTCCGGGCCTCTTAAAAAGGTTGATGGACTCCGGAAAGCTGTGAACCATTTTGCTGTGGAATTTTTTGAGTGATTAGGAATAAGTTCAATAGTTCGGCAGATCAAGTTTAGAAATAATTCTTGCTTTAAGTGAAGAATATAGGTATTTACTTGGTAAATACTAATTATAGTTAATGTTAAACACGGGAGCCGAAAGTTTTTTGCAATCACGACAAAATGAATTTAAGTTTCAAATACTTTATTATTTTCTATGAAATTTAAAAATATTTATGTTGAAAGTTTTTTTAAAAATTGCGTAGTGCATTAATGTGATTGCTGATGTCTTCAGCGCGACCAAATTAAATATTGTAACACTCTCAGAATTTACTCCGCTCATGCATTCACTTAACATGCCTTTTAAGCCTGTTTTTGTATCCGAATGTTTTGTGACAAACCTCACCCTAGAAGGATTTGCTCCGATTATGTACTATATTCAAGTGACGTTTGAGTTTATTCTGGTATCCAAATGATTTGTGACAAATATCACATTCAAATGGTTTGCTCCGATCATGTACTGTAATTATGTGAGTTTCAAGGTCACTCTGGCGGCCGTATGATTTGTGACAAACCTCACATTCGAAGGGTTTGCTCCGATTATGTACTGCACTTATATGTCTTTTAAGGTCCCTTTTTAGTCCAAATGATTTAGGACAAATCTCACATTCAAAGAGTTTGATACGGTCGTGTACTGTACTTATGTGAGATTTAAGATGACTATTCTGGCCGAATAATCTATGACAAATTTCACACTCAAAGGATTTGCTATGATCATGAACTGTAATTACGTGAGTTTTGAGGTAAGATTTGTGTCCAAATGATTTTTGACAAATGGCACACTCAAAGGGTTTGCTCCGATCATGTACTGAGCTTATGTGTTTATTGAGGACACTATTGTATCCAAATGATTTGTGACAAATCTCACACTCAAAGGGTTGGCTCCGATGATGTATTGCACTTATGTGTCTATCAAGGTCACTTTTAAGTGAAAATGATTTGTAACAAATGTCACATACAAAGGGTTTGTTTCGATTGTGTACTACATTTATGTGACGTTTGAGACTGACTTTTCGTCTAAATGATTTGTGACAAATTTCACATTCACATGATCGAATGTTCTTTAGTAATATATTAAAATGTCTCTGTAGACTTACTCCTTCTACACTCATTTTTCGACACAGCTTACCCCTATGAGATTTGGTACTATTGTCAAATATTTTCACCACTTTGGTTTCAGCTTGTTTCAATTAGAATTTGAGTGGAAATGGACAATTATTATCATAATCGAATTCGTTTCTTATTAAAATTGACAAATTTCGATCTTTCAAGTAATTGGTCTTATTTTCATTTTCTACTTTCACGAATGGTTGATAACTTTGATATTCGATTTTGCAGATTTTGGTCGTCAAAGAATTCAATTCAGGTTTCATATATTTGAACTCAACATTTATAAATATACTTTCATTCGTGTAATTGATGTGACTTTTGTTTTCTATTTTCACAATAGGTGGGCAAGTTTGATCCTCAGTTTTGCAGATTGTTTCTGATGAAAGCTTCAATTTTGTTTTAACATTTTTGAATTTTAAATCTATAAATCTTTTTTCGTCTAATTTTTCTTGTAACGACATAACCTCATTCGTGTGGTGAGCTTAAAATGAAAATTGTATAAAAGTTTCGAATAGTGGAAATACAGATTATAAATTATGTCATTAAGCTCACTGATGATTGATAAAACGGAAATGTTTCAACATTTCTGACTTCACCAGTGTCCACCGAATTCAAAATATAATCATCGCCTGCCTCTGGCCAGGTATCATTTGGAATACGATAATCGATTCAATGCATTAAGTACTTTTAAAAATATCATGGATGAGACTAAAATATTATACCTAGGCGTGTCCTCTCTGTCTTCCATCACTCACTTGATTAAATGTACTCACTATGAATTTTCACAAAACACACTGAGAAAATTTTCTAGGTTATATGCCTCGAGTAGCCAACTCTGTTAACTCGATTTCACTTATATACTTTTATAGATATTTTTCGTAAATAGTTGTTATTGAAGGATTTAACTTCTCGTTACAGACTGAAGCTACTATTAGAATATTACCGATATGACCCTTAATTGTGATAGCTGTTTAAAGATACTCTTCACCTCTACCGTCTGCTGGTCATATGAAGTTATATACTGCGATACGCAGAGTCACTAGCGTGTCATTAAAAGTACACCGAAATGACAATAAAAAAAAAAAAGATTCATCATTAAATGTTTCTAATTAAACAACCGAAACCTTTGAGATAAAAGGATTGAATTTCCGTACTTTCTCGGACCTTAGAAGTAGACTCTTACCGTAAATCGTATTGCGAACGCATTCATGAATTATTTGATTTTAATCGAAATTCTTCGTACGTACGATTTGGGCGCGTATGACTTTTTCTCAAGCGCCATTACGCCTCATGAACTTCTTCGTAGTGACGATGACGTGTGCGGCTGAAACAACGAGACGCGCGCGTGTCGCACACAAAAAAAAAGTTCGCTTTCAAGCTCCTCGCTTTCTTCTTCCTGTCCGCAAGAAAAAAACATTTTTTCCTTCTCTCGCCCTCCACTCTCGCAAATGTATAGATATAGTTTTTTTCTCTCGCAGTGCACTACGACGCGAGTTTTCAAGCCTCGTTCTTTTCAAGTTTAAAAGAAAAAAACAACGCGCCAGCGAAACATTGTTTTTCATGCTCGCAATTGTGGCGCACAGTGCGTGGCAGTAGCACGTAAGACCTAAATTTCTTTGGATTTTTGGGTCAAATGCGGAATTTAAACACTCGTTATATTTTATACTTTCTTTACTCCGCAGTCTCTTGTGCGCATGTTGTTATAGTGCTAATTTTTGTACGTACTTTTTTTTCTCTCAATTGTATACGAAAAAATCATCGCGCCTCCCGCGCACAAAATGTTTTTCAACGATGTACAATTTTCTCTCAGGTGAGCAGTTGTATATAGCGAGGTGAAAAAAGAAGAAAAAAAGAGTAAAAGCAAAAAAGCAAAATCGCTAAACTTGCCTATTCTCTTTCCATCATAACAACTTATACTCTCTGCTCTCTCACTCACTCTGACTCTCTTGTATTTTTTTACCACCTTATATACAACAAACTATAAAACTGAAAGATAGATTTCTCATCGCTGCCTGTATACTTTTGCCCTAAAGGCACGTGTATACACGCAGCCTTGATCGCTTGTCGTCGCCCACTCTCCTCACTTTCCAAATTGTTTGCCAATATCAAGTGAAATTGAGCTTTCCCGAGCCCGCGCCGCGTCGCACCGCGCGCGGAGTGCCAGGGTTTATAATAGAAAATGGGATACTTTCTGGCAGAAGATACACACCCGTCTATACACTCAGCATTCACTTACACGGTGGGGTGTCGTATTTCAATCAAGAAGTCCTGTAAACCTCGGTGTATATAAGAAAGAAAAAAAATGAAAAACA